CAATGCCATTTCACGTTCCATTATTCATTATAGTTGCTATTTTTAGCTATTCATTTTAATTTCATTCAATCTTTCAGAAATTTCAAATCAGATTAGAATCATATTAGACAATGGAAGTTCGAACTTATAAAATTCAGGAATACAGTGCCCAGCGAAAAATGTCAATAACTTTTCATCTAGACATAATTTTAATAGGTATGCGACGCTAACTTATTGCAATACATACAGAGATGACGATGGCATTGAAAAAGGATTTCAAAAAAATCTCAGTTCAGCTAACTCCGGAAGCGCATTAAATAGAAAGATACGCCTGAAGAAGCTATGGCATAAATGAAGTGTTTCTTGATTTAAATAGAATTGTTAACAATAAATATAGTACTGAAACAGACTACATAACTATGAGAATCAAATAAAATGGAACACCTGTCTGAAATGAATGACATTGTATTTGGTTTTGCCTGGGGACTCAAATATAGACGGAAATGAGAAAACAAATAATTGGGCTGAAGTGGGTACCATTCTTAAAATTCCAAGGAATATTAAAAAAGATCTACTTCCAATTATAAAAAAAAATATTTCAATTTATCATTTTTTTGGTTGTTGCTTGTATGTTCTTTTTTAGTAATTTCAGTTTTTTGTTTGATAAAATTGTTATTTTCGCTTAATCTTTTTAATTTGTTTCAGGGATTTCAAATCAATTTATATTATATTAGACAATGGAAGTTCGAACTGATAAAATAGGTATTTGTTCATTGTAAATTTTGAAATTGTTAGCATACATCACTGAAAATATATTTAGATTTTCCAACACAAAACACTCCAGTTTTGTATTATTTATATTTTGAAGATTTTCATCTAATCTCTCCAGAAAAGCTTTGTAGTTCTCTATTGGTGAACGATACATGCCACATAACAGGATGTTAATTTGTGATAATTTTAATTCAATGTATGAATTTTCAGGATCTTTTTTGACAATTTCGTAATCCATATTTTTTCCAAAAATATTCCTATACCACCCCCACGTTTCAGCCTTGAGTAATACATAGAATTGAAATTCTTGAAATTGTAAAAGAGTTCTTCGGCTTCACTCATCCATGTTTCGGAGATTATTATCACATTTGCTTTAATTACGTCATTGATAATTTTCATTTCATTGATCGGGCATTTAAATGAAGAATTTTGAGATCATATTTTGCTATGGTATTTAAAAATTGAGTGGTATTCAAATACTTCTATATTATGTTTATTCCTCCTTCAGAGTATTCGGTTGAATTCGATTAATAACTATTACCTATCAATTTGAGAAAAGTACTTGCTTTCTTGGTACGAGAAATATGTTCATATTCCTGGCTCCTCCGCCAATTCACACTCTCTCAAAAAACAAATTTATTTTCAGTAGAATACAAAACGGGACAAAGCCAAAAAGAATATTCATAAATGATGATGAAAATAACAATAAATGATTTGATTGTTATGAATAATATGCAATATCGTGTTATGAACAGTTAATAATCAAGTGCAGTGCATTTTATAATAGTTAGATATGAAAACGGTGATTGTATGAACGTTCGAGAGACGTGGTGAAGGTTGCGGTGCAATTAGAAACAATGTCAATTTCTATTGATTTGGATATAGAATTGTAGGATTTACAACACCTATTCAGGGGAGAATTCACATAGTAATTAGGTTTACTTTGATTTGTTTTGAGCTGCCTCTCAAAAGTTTGAATGTGAAGTAGTCAAGATTATTACGGTACATTTTACATTTTTGTGGCATCTTTTCTTTTCCCTGAGAGTCTTTATAGTATGTGCACTAAACCAAAAAATTCAGATTCAGAGTTTTGCCCCTCGATTCATGGGTTATGCGCATGAAGAGGCCCAGGAGTTCCTTCGTTATCTTTTAGACGGTTTACATGATGACGTTCATAGAATTAATGAGAAACCGACCATAACACAGGACAATTTTTATCGGTACCTACGCAGTGCTTGGTTTTAAAATTTAAATTCGAAATTTCACAACTTGCACATTTTATTTTAGAACGAGAACAGTTTTTTCTTCATGACAATCGCCACATCGGGAGCAAATTGTTGAATTTCTAACAGTTTCTTGAAGATTGATTGAATCGGCAACATTTGTAGCACAAATGCTACTATCACAGGCATTTGATTTCTGCTAATTGATGAACAATTTTCCTTGTTTTTTTTTTCAACAACATTCCTAAATAGATTTCCATTAACATCAGGAAAAATGGTATATTTGTTTTTGTAAGAAATGTATTTTACGTTATTTATTTTTATGAACTCATTTTTGGCAATGAAAGAGTTTTGTTCTTTTATCTTCAAAAGATAGACCCTACAATTTTGATTTTTGAATTGATTTTTTTCAACTTCTAATATATATAATCATCTTTCAATTTATTTTTGAAGTAGAAGTTTTAGTGAAGTTATGTAAACCTCACAATAGGTTTCAATAATTGCAAACTATCTTTATTCACATTAAAAAAGAAATATAACTTATTGAACAAATTCAGTTTGATGAAATCAAAATGTCTTATACAGCAATTGTAGATTTGTAGATGCATTGCAATAGTGCTCCAGAACGTTAATCTAGTTCAAATGGAGAGTGGAATGCGACTTCACAAAATTATAATCGTGAAAACAATAACTTAGGCCACGTATTAGTGATTATGAGAATGTATTTCACCCTTATTTAGGTGAAGAATTCAAAAGTCATTTCTGGTACCCGTGTTAGGAATCACACGTAAAAGGTAAGACATCGTTAATTCTTAGCTCGCACAAGTTTCAACTTCTGAGGATTGTCGTTCGTAGGTGAAGGAAAAACAGATTTTAAACATGATTTTAGTGTCCGACCGAAACTGGTTTTTACGAACGAAACCGAAAACGAATTTCGGCAACGGTCTCAGTTTCGACCGAAACCGAAACTTCCTTACAAGGATTATATTTTGAGGGAAAAATATAAAAAAACGATATTATAATCAGTCAGTTTTCATTTTTTCATCTTTAAATCACAACGTTATGCAGTCTTCGACATTTTTACTTATTGATAATCAACATTACAAACCCTTATTTGAAAAAATATCAATTGCATCTTAAAAATACTTAAAATAGGTGAGATGTTTATTTGAGTAGGTGTAGATCATTCTTTTGAATATTATTGATGGTTTTTCAAAAATATTAAACTTAAAATTACCTATTTAGGTTGTTACCTAATATCACAATAGGTACTTAATATTTATGTAATAAACAAAGTAAATCACAAAGTAAGTCTCGAGTCATGACATGATTAGGCATGTGGACGCAGCAAAATGTTTTCGTCGTTTGCATGAAATTCAACGTGCCGAACATTACCGATCACAGCACGGGAACTCCCGAATGCAGTTTCGGTCGTAGTTTTGGCAGGTTTGCCGCCGAAACCGAAATTAAACTGAAACCCGTTTTTTTGCCGAAACTCGACCGAAACCGAACATTCGGTCGGACACTACATGATTTTCTATCACATATCACAATGTAAATTTTGGAAATGATATGTCTAATCGGACACTTAGATTATAATCTAAATTTATGCTACTCTTAAATTTACCTCATTATGTGTAAGTAATTATTTCATTAATTACTTATGAGATTGAATAATGGAATGAGTTAGGAAATTAGAAATGAATTACGAATAACAGATAACATTTATTTCATATTTCAAAAATTGCGACGAAAGATTCTCAAAGTCCACTTCGATTCACCTCTTCACATGAGTCGTTGTGAGTTTGTCTTGAGCGAGAGTAATGACGGTATGAGTGATGTTTTCGAGGCGACCTCAACGACCGCGGTCATTACGTGGAACGGTTATAGGAGCATTTTGATTGTTGTGAGCGCTTTGTGGAACGTACGGTATACTGTATACTGTGGCGAAGAGGTGACACGACGTGATTCGATATTCTACGATACCACCTATTGACGGCACAGTATCATAAAATCGCGCTTTAAAATACCATTTCTCGTCCCGTGTATTGATCTATTTTGTGCCATTCCCATTGGCAACACTGGTGTCGGGTGCCATTGTGTGAACTGTGATCTGCTGAAACTGCTGAACAGTGTTGCCATTTGTAATATAATTATCGAATTGTAACATATTTTTTCCTCAAAATTAAGTCAAATGATAATGTGTAACATAATCGATAATAGTAACATAATTTTTTTGTCTTGGAATGTTTCAACTTTGCAGGTTTTATTCTTACTGTACCAATAAAAAAAATTATTTTTTTTTATTTCATTCAATCATCAGATGGGAAGAACGAAGGTGACAGGAGTTATGAAACATGTTTTGGCAAATTCACATTTTGTTGAACTAGTTGAAGAACTGAAAGTGAAAAAATTCAGCATTTTGATAGATGAATCCACAGACATAGGTTTAGTGAAAACTATTTGTGTGTATACACGGTACTTTGGTAACAAAAATGAAATAACCACGAAATTTTTTGATTTGGTTCAATGTTTCTCAAATCAAAATCCAGCTGAAGCAGAAGCAGGTGCAACAGCAGATGTAATTTATAACAAAATTGAACGTTTATTTGAGTCTGCAAAAATATCTTTTGAAAATATAATAGTTTTTGGCTCTGATGGTGGTAACACTATGTTTGGTTCCAAAAATTCAATAGTGAGTAGGTTGTATGTAAATTTCCCTGGTATTATAGTACAAAAATGCATTTGTCATTCATTACATCTATGTGCTACAATTTTAATGTTACAGAAGATATGATAAGTTCAATAACCTCGTATAAACACGATAAAGATGAAAATGTTGATGTTGATATTCATTTCGATACCAAATAATTTCGGACTAGATTTAGGTTTTTGTGTTATTTTTTTGTTATCTGTTTTTTATTTGATTATACATACCTGAATAGAAATGAGTGCGGCGTTTTTTTTCCAAAACAACAAAACAAAGAGAAATCGATAATTTTGGCAGCTCTGCACGATAATTTTTTCATCAGCTAGTGGCAACACTGCTGCTGAAAGTCTGAAATCCATCATGGCTTCATTTTATGATTAAACCAACTTTTTATTTTATATTTTTCCACTTTTCTTGATTCAACGTCGCTATAGTCAATACTGAAATGGTAAGTATATCCTTGTAGCAATTATTTTCTGAAATTTATAGAAGTTTTTTCAAGGTACCATAATGGATATTAAAACTGTGAGGTCACAGTAAATCATGGAATAAATATCCTATTCTTCCATGAATCAAAAAATTTATCTTCAGTAGAAACTGGAAATTGTTCTTTAGCCTCTTACCATGATTCAAGTGTAAGATCTTCACATGGTATGTTGTTGATTTTTCTATTTTTGGACTTGAATTTTCATTCTTAATGAGAGAACGAAAATAGATAATTTTATAAATGTGATTTCCATGAAGTCATTCAAATTATGGGATATGGACATACATAATATGATTATTACGGTAACCAAGTGTAATTCCTGTTTCTAATTATTTTCAATACCGAAATAACTTTATGGCAACAATGATTGATCAATACCGAACCACCAAATATTTGAACTTAACACAGATAACAAGTGAGCACTTTCATTTATAGGTGACGTTGACCAATTCAGATTTCGGATACATCAAACAGCGAAGTATGATTGTTTTGCATCTGATCCTTCCTTTTTATAATAGTTACATACCAATTAGAAAACCGAGGATTTTCATTTAAATTATCACATCAATACCGAGGCCTACTTAACTCTCAATCATCTCTGAATGACTCTAGGAGCGTTTATAATTGGTAATACATCAAGCTATCTCATAAGAAGAACTTTTCAACTATTTTTTTTTTAATTTTTGTGGAGTTTCTTTTGGGATCCGAGAAATGAAAAAAGTCTCTGAGGGACAGATTTAGAGAATACAGTTAATGCAATTCAGGCAGTTTTGCAATCATTTTCATTGATTTGTGACTCGGTGCATTGTCTTGATAAAACAGCACTGTTTTTCTTTAAGTAGGGCTGGTTTTTCGCGATTTACTCTTCAAATGCTATTTAATAGTCGCTGTTGATGGTTTTACCCTTCTCAAGATAGTCAATAAATGTTATACCATGCGTATCCCAAAATACTGATACCACATCCCTACCAGCCGAGTGGTGCGTCTTAGCATGCTTTGGAGTGGGTTCTCGATGTGTAATCCACTCAGATAACGATCCGATCGTTTTGATTCTGGTATGAAATGATGGAGCCATGTTTCACCCATTGTCATTCATCGACGCATATATTCAGGTTTTTTATGGTGGAACAAGAAAATGACATGTATATGGACGAACTCAAGCATTTGAAGTTTAAACCTATAGAATCTCAAAATTAACATCAAGCGAAAATAAAGGATAATCAAGAAGCCTTATCTGAAATCAGAATAAAACAAAGAAGCCAGAAGGAAAACTCCAAAATCTCCAAAGACATGAAATCTTGAGCACCAGAGGTGAATGGTTTTCTGGTAAGTGATTCAATCAATAGCAGCAACCCAGAAACTTTCTGTGAAGAAACCAACCATGATCTCCTTCTACAGCCTGAACAAGAAACAGAACACAGTAATATATTCTGAAGGAAATGAAATAGAACAACCAACTGATGCATCTCAGCCTTTAAAAGTTGAGTTGAAAACGGTTCTTATTCTAGGGGACGAATACACAAAGGGATTTTCAAATGCATTGAATAAAACAATTGTTAACAATTATCAGATGAATGAAATTGTGAAAGCAGACTTAAAGCTATCTGATTTGACAAAAAATATTTTCTCAGAGATCTTGCAATATGGAATGCAGGACTTTCTAATCATAATGTTCAACACAAACAATATTAGTAATAATAAATACCCGAATAATGACTTCACCAAATATTGCCAGTAAGCAAGTTCACATATTTAAAATTATGATGGATGATGCTGATTTGTCAATTTTACATATTATTTTCACCTACACAAAAGAAAGAATGGGGGTTCACCTGCACAAAAGGAAATAATTGGGGTTCGCGTTCCCTATTGGTATATTTGTCTAGTTGTTAATACGTACCGTATTTATTTAAGCCTAAATTCTTCTCCCGATTGAACTTCTTGATGAAAGTTACTAATGGAGAGTTACTATCTCTCTTTATCGCATCTCAGATGCACATCTACATTTGCCAAGCTGTAATAGAAATTAAGGAAATAAAATACAGGTTTGGTGTAGTTTGTTTTCAGGTGTCCATATTACTGAACCTACTTTTTTTTCAGTCTAGACAAGACTTCATGAAAATAGTGAAAACCTGCATTTCAGTGGATACCTTTCATACTCACTTTCATTTGCGAGTTTGATAAGGGTTTTGAATGAATGAATTTTGAAATATTGTTTTTGGTATGGAACGTATGTATTTTATCCTTTCATTATTGATAACCATTCAATCAGTTAAAGTGTATGCAAATCCACCATTTTTGAAATTCTGATCAGCAAATAACTAAAGTATTCGAGTAATATTATACAGGACAGAAAAATGTTTAAAATCGTAGAAAAGTACGCATTTTGATCGATTGATGGGCATAAGTATAATAAAAGATGATAATGATGATAACAATAATAATAATAATGATAGTATTCGCTAAAATAAAATCAGTACTGAAAAACCCATTACGCCTAATTCTCATTAAAACTCCCTCCGTATCTTTTGTAATTACTATATATTGGAGTAGATTTCTGTTAATTTTAAGATCGGTCCGGTATACCGGCGACAAGCTTATATCAAATCAAATAAAAAATGTACTTTATTGTCTAAGAGGAAAAACTCTTGTTGACAAAGCATGGTTCACACGTACACTACAATAATAGTAAATGCCTATTAATTTGTCAGTGTTTCATATAAAATGGTTGAAACAACAAAAGATATACATATATCTTTGGTATAGTTGTAAAATAAGAACAAAACATTTGAGTAACAATTACTACATCTCACGATGAAATCACAATTGAATATAAAACGCAGGTAATTTCATCTTATAGGAATATACTGAATAAGCTACGATTAGCTCAAGATACTGTCATTATAATATTCCTGCAGGCTGTAGTATCCTTTAGTTGATGATTGTTTAACGGTTTTTTGAAAGATTGTCGGCCGTGGTATATTTTTTATTTCGATCGACAGATGACTGAAAAGTTTTTTACTCTCAAACATGACAGAATTGTTTGTTGAAGTTGTTCTTGGTTGCGGTCGGGGTGTCGTTGTTTTGAAGAGTATTATATCGTCTCATAATTGTCATATTGGATTGTTTCTTATGCATCAAGCATACTGTCTCGAGGATAGATATACTATATATAGGGTCAAAATTCTATGTTTTGAAAAAAGCGGTACACAGTGATCTCTGGGTTCAGCTTTTTTTTAAGGAAAGAACACAAACACTACAGGAAAATCCTTAAGAGCGGTGCCTGTGCGAAAGTACCGATTCACGTTGGATTTGAATCGCTGGAGAATAGATTCATTAGCAAAAATGTTTTTCGGAAGTTTATTCCACATACACCAGATCTGCAAAAGCAGTGAAGTTCGGGGTGTACAGAGTTGAACCTCAGAACGATAAGCAGTCATAATCCGTCGCGTATTTCTGATATGTACCCTCTTGGTGAAATCAAGTGTGCCAAGTCACTTGAACACCTCCCGTGAAAGTATCTATAAAAGAAAGACAAATCTCCAACCAATGTTCCAGACTATCAAGATTGCAAGTGATATTCGAGTCTCCCAACAGGCAAATGGCTCTTTTCTGTTCATATATATTCAAACATTCTAATCGAATGACCGATTGGATTTAAATAGATCACCATTATTGAACTTGTTTTTTTGGATGAAGTACGTATTATTATATTGACGTAGAATTGATGTAATATGCTTTACTTAATCATAATTGAAGATGTACCTTATGTATATAAAAGTTATTGGTGTTTTAGGTAATTTGATCAATTGAGTATCTAAGTAGGTATTCTCAATTGTGATTATGTGAGGTATATAAATATCAGAGTAAGAATTAACCTATAGTACGTAATGAACTACGAAAAAGCTACACATATGATAGAAACATGTCGTGATATATTCTTTAAATAAAGTTTGTGGATAACAAATCGTAAAGTGTAGTTTATGGAAATAGTTTCATGTATACTGATGATGGTGAGGCGGGAATAGGAATACAGTTTGTTTGAAAATGGTTGACAATGTTTCATAGTGAATTTTACTAGTTAGCACTTCCATTGACATCTAAATGAATCTAATTTGATTTAAAATCTCTGAAATACCAAATGAAATCAAAATAAATAGCTGAAATAATAATTATATTGAGCGGCCAACTCCCGCTAAATTGGAGAAGGGGAGGGAGGGCACAGGGCACTGTGGTCAACAATATATCGGTCAGACCAACAGACGTATATCTGCCAGAACCCAGGAGCACAAAAACTCGATAAGAACAAAACAAACCTCAGCAAGGCCTCATCAACAAAAGGGATGACTCACTAAACATCCCAAGGATTTGGAAAACAATAATTAAAAACAACCACCAAAGACAACCACAAATTGATAATGAACCATCGCAGGTAGGAGAACCGCCAGAAGCCATTAACAACCCTCAGGTAGAAAAACAGGTAGG